TCTTTCCTCCCTTCTTTGTCTATGTGTCCAAGATGGCTTCCTTCTTCATGCTCCATTCCTTTCCTGTCTACTTGTCCAAGATGACTTCTCCCCTCACTCTTCACTCCCTTCCTTGCCTACCCTGTCCAAAATGACTTCTCCCCTTGATCTCCATTCCCTTCTTGCCTTTCTGTCCAAGATGGCTTCTCCCTTCACTTTCTATTCTCTCCTGTTCAAGATGGCACTAGCCTTCATTCTCCAGTCTTTTCCTGTGCTTATTTTTCCACCTATGCATGTATCACTACTTGGCAGTTATATTTTCATTTGTTTACTAGTTTTATGGCTAGTCTCCCTCACTTGAACAAGGGCAGCAACTGTGTTCACAGACATATAGATGTTTCCACAGACAAACACTCAATCACTTTTCTGGCAAAATGAATTGAACAGTGAGTTCAGGCTTGCCTGAGGGAGAGGCTGTCAGGGAATCTCTGAACATCAGCCCAGCTACCTGTGTCACTGCTGGTCTCTTCGTTAGTTTGTTCTAATACCCTGAGCTCTGCCTTGCCCACTCTGGGACTCACAGCATCCTCCTGCCACCTCTCACTCTACTTACTGTCCCACACCGAGGCTTCCATTCTAGGCCTCCTGATGTGGCGTGTTCCCCCACCACACCACTCTGTGCTGATAGGCGAAGCAGGTCTGTGAGCAACCAGGGCTTCATGCATCTCAACCTCAGCCCAGCCAGGGTCAATCTCCCAGGCAGAGGCCCTGCCTTGTTCGATGCTGCTGGTTCCAGTTTAGCTTGTCATTTCTGCCATGTGGGCCAGCCTCTGCCTCCGGATTCTCTCCATGTTTTCCTTCTCCAGGATTCCTAGGTTCTCTTGCTCACCCTCAGCTTAGCAGGATTTTCAGTGAATGTATGGGGAGAATGGCTGCCTGGTCAGGGATAAAGGGTCGATGGCAAATGCACTACATTCAGTAGTCTCCATTGTTCATGGTTTTACTTTCTGCAATTTCAGTTACTCATAGATAAGTGTTATACAAAAATATTACATGGAAAGCTCCAGACATAATTCACAAGCTTTAAATTGCTCATCTTTCCGAGCACCCATGTTGAAATCTCACACCATCCACTTCTGCCCTGCCTGGAATGTGAGTCATCCCTCTGTCTAGCTATCCATGCTGTCTATGCCCCCTACCGTTAGTCACATGGTAGCCATCTTGGGTATCAGACAGAAAAAACACAGTACGTAGACGGTTCCGTACTTACTTCGTGCAGTTTCAGGCATCCATTGGGTGTCTTGGAACACATCCCCCATGGGTAAGGGATGACTGCTGTCTTAAGAGGAGACTTTCAAGCATCCTGCAGATGGGGTGGTGCCCAGGAGGGTCTTTGGTTCCTCTTTGTAGAACATTCTCAGGTTTTCCCAGCTTGGGCATGTGGCTGGATCTGAGTCCTCTCTTTTTTTCATATGGCGCAGTGTCAGTTCTTCCATCTTCTGCAAGGTCCTGCAGAGGTCTTTGCCAAGTCATAGCTATTAGTAGGGACATTCCTCCAGCCCACCAGGAAACACACCCTCCGCCCCACAACAAAAAAGAAAAAGAAACAAAAACAAAGACTCAAGGATGCAGCACTCACTGGGAGCAGTACTTACTCAGGTTTGCTGTTTCCTCTGGTAGTTCAGGTAGGGGAAAATCTGCATCGTTTCTCCTACTTGTCACCATGTCATAGGTCAGTGGTAAATCTGAAAGTCCACAAACTGTATAAATCCAATTATATGGCATTCTGGAAAAGGTGAAACTATGGAGACACTAAAAAAGATCAGTAGTTGCCAGGTGTTAAAAGGAAGGATGAGTCGATGCATCATGTAGGGGCTCTAGGGCAGAGAATCTGCTCTGTGTGATCTTACAACGGTGAACACATCATCACACAAATCCAGACCCATAGCATATGCAACCCCCAGAGCGAGCCCTCATGTAAACTGTGATGAAGACATGGCAGTGTAGGTTCATCGACTGAAACACAGACCACTCTAGTTCCAGGAGGTCGACAGTGGGGGAGGCTGCGCATGGGGTATGGTGTATATGAACTGTCTGCACCTTCCTCCCAGTTGTGCTGTGAATGTAAAACTGCTCTTAAAAAATACATAGAAGGGGAACCAGCAGTTAGCGTAATGGCTATGTCGCTGGACTCCCACGTAGTCGACCGCAGTTCGCGTCCCGGACCCGGTGGCTTAAAACTCACACTGGGCGCGTGTGTGTGCATGCCCAAGATCCTGAGAGGAGAATGGAGGAGAAGGGATTGTGGCGTGACCATCCCCCCTGGGGGGTGATTTCTCGCTTTCTGTCTCTATGTCTCTCTCTGTCTGGCGAGCGCACACGCCCTATAGCAAAAACCTCTCCAAAAAAGAAATATATGCATAGAAGAAGGCTGATGGAGGACAGGAGTAACATGTTGATGTCTGGGGTTTACATCTTGGTCCGAGCCATAGTAGCCCCAGCCCTCTCTTTCTTCCCACCCAGGGTAGAGGAGGCAGAGAAGGTCCCTGGCCAGTGCTGTCTTGGTGTGTACAGAGCTGGTAGTGACAGTCTGATGTCCTTGGCAGGTGGCGTGGAGACTGAGATGATCCGCTTGGTGAACGGCTCGGGCCCACATGAGGGCCGTGTGGAGGTGTACCACGACCGTCGCTGGGGCACCGTGTGTGATGACGGCTGGGACAAGAAGGACGGGGAAGTGGTGTGCCGAATGCTGGGCTTCCGTGGCGTGGAGGAGGTGTACCGGACGGCTCGATTCGGGCAAGGTAAGGTGCTGCGGAGGCAAAGGCCATGGAGACAGGGCCCGTGGATCCTAGAACTGGTCTTCTCTGCAGAGCTCGAGTCCTCTCAACTGTGATTCTGCCAAGTGTCACCTGGCCTCTCCCTGGAATCTTCTAGCAACCAGAACTCACTGTGTGTAGGCAACGCAGTCATCTTCACATAGCTCTGATTATGAGACTGTTCTTGCTTCCCCTCAGTTTCCCCACTGACCCTCATTCTGAGATCTGTGTTTCAGGCACATAGCTAGTCCCTCTCACTGAACACTTACCTAGCACTCACTGTGTTCCTGGCAATGCTCTAAACTACAGTATTCACTCGTTTAATCTTAACATTATGAAGTAGATCCAGATATCATTCCTATTTTCCAAAGAAGAAACAGAGGCACACAAAGATTTAGTAACTTGCCCAAGGTCACACAGCTAGCAAATGGCAAGGCCTGGGTTCAGACCCAGGCAGGCAGCTTAGGAGCGCATGCTCATGCTCTTTGTTTTTATTTTTTTGGAGAGGTTTTTGCTACAGGGCACGTGCACTCACCAGAAAGACAGAGAGAAAAAGACAGAAAGAGAGAAATCACCCCTTGGGAGGGATGGTCATGCCGCAATCCCTTCTCCTCCATTCTCCTCTCAGGATCTTAGGCACGCACACATGTGCCCTGTGTGAGTTTAAATCGACTTAAACTCACAGTCAACTGCATGAGAGTCCAGTGACAAAGCCATTACTCCAACTGCTGGGCCCAGGAGTGCATGCTCTTAACCATTCTGCTGGCCTATCTCTGCCTCTTCTTGAATTGTCTCTTTTCCAGATGACCAACCCCAGATATTTCATTCTGTCCTCATAGGATGACATCTGGAAAACCTTTACTATCTTGAGCCTCCCCTTTGGCTCAAGTGTATCTCCTCCCTCTGGTAACATAAGTGGTGCCATAAGTGGTACCCTTCCTAGCTAGATGCTGATTTGAACTATTCATCCCTTTCCTGTTGCAAGGAAAACAGCCCCTTCCCAACCCCAGGCTCCTTTACTTCACCTTATCTGTCTCTCAGGCTAGCTTTCTGTGTTCCCTTGCTAGGACTGCTATGACAAATACCATAGACTGAGTGGCTTAAATAATAGCAGTTTATTTCCTCACAGTTCTGGAGGCAGGAAGTCCAAGATCAAAGTGTCAACATAGCTAATCTCTCTCAGGCCTCTCTCCTTGGCTTCACTCCAAATCTTGGTTGTACATGTCTTAATCTCTCTGTATGTGTCCTAATCTCTCTCTCTCTCTCTCTGTTCTTTTTTTTTTTTTTTTTGTTTTTTACCTTAGGGAATGCATATGCACTCACCAAAAAGACGGAGAGAAACAGAGAGAGGAAAAGTGAGAAATGATCCCCCAGGGGGATGGCCACACCACAATCCCTTCTCCATTCTCCTCCTGTGATTTTGGGTATGCACGTACCTGGGCCTGGCATGAATTTCAAAATGCAGGTCCAGGATTCAAACCATGGTTGGCCATGTGAAAGTCTAACACTATAGCCACTACACCACCTGCTGGCCCCCCTAATCTCTTCTTATAAGGATGCCAGTCATATCATGTTAGGGCCCACGCTAATGACCTCATCTTACCTTAATTATCTCTTTAAAGGTTCTGTCTCCAAACACACTCATCTTTTAAAGTACTGGGGCTTAGGACTTCAGCATGGGAATTTGTAGGAGAGACAGTTCAACCCATGACATGCCTCTTACCATGGTCACCAGCCTAGTTTACTTAGTGTATTATAACAAAATACCATCAACTGAGTGCCTTTTAAACAGCAGTAATTTATTTTTCACAGTTCTGGAATCTGGGAAGTCTAAGATCAAGTTGCCGGCAGATTCACTGCCTGGTGAGGGCCTGCTTCCTAGTTCATAGCTCCATCTGTCCGTGTTCTCACATGGTAGAAGGGTCAAGGGCATTCTCAGGGCTCTGTCTTATCAGAGTACTAATCCCATTCATCAGGGCTCCAATCCTGTAACCTAATCGCAAAGGCCCCACCTCCTAATACCATCACTTTGTAGATTGGGACTTTAACATATGAATTTGGGGGAACACAAACATTCAGTGTTGCAGCCACAAGCCAAGCTGACATGAAGATCCATACACAGACAACAGAAAGCACGTATTACTCACCAAGATATGCTGAAACTCACAACAGTCTACCCACTCACACAATCTCATATGTGCTCTCTCCTCTCACTGCAAGCATGGAGAAACCTGTGTGGACTCACAAGGAAAACGATGTTCCCATGTGTACAAACCTGTTACTTCCCACACTGTAAAATAGTGAGCTCTTCCTTGGCCACATGGTCTCAGGCCCGCTTCTCCATTCTGAGTCTTGATGTCTTAGTCTGTGATTAAATAGGCTTGCAGTCTATGATATGCCCTCTGGTCTCATCCCTCAGGGATTTAAAGGGCACAGCAGGTGGCATAGTGGTTAAGGTGCTGGACTACCACATGGTCAACTGCAGTTCAAGTCCCAGACCTAATGTCTTGAAAACCACATCGGGTGCATGTGTGTACATGCCTGAAATCCCGAGAGGAGAGTGAAGGAGAAGAGACTGTGGTATGGCCATCCCCACTGGGGAGTGATTTCTCACTTTCCTTCTCTCTGTATCTCTCTGGTGAGAGCATGTATTCTATGACAAAACTTTAAAAAAAAATTTTTAAAGACACTTCTGTTCACCTTCCAAGAGATGCTATGTCCTAGTGGATGTGGAAGGGGTTTGGGCTGATCCTCTCATACTTGGTCACCAGGTCCCCTTAGTAACCCGTGGACTGCAGTCAGCCAGCTGCATCATGGACTGGACCTGGCGATTCCAAAGCCGTGGCTGTCCAACCCCCTGTGCAAAATGGCTAAAGGGGCTCATGGTACAACATGAAGGGAGGGATGACCTGTCCTTTTCATATGGGGACACAGACCCAAGTCACATCCAGACTGGCATGGAAGACTTACTTCTTCACAGTCGTCTTTTTCCGCATCCCCATGATGGGGTTGCCACATTTCTTGGTCACAGTCTCACCCTTTAGATCCTAATTATCTTGACTAAAATGGACTTTTGGTGAAATCAGTTGAAATAACAGAGAGGGTACCTACCAATTCTCACATACCCTGGCCTCTCCATTTAAGGGCCAATCCAAGGGGGTTGATCACACAGAGTGCAACCCACCAGGAGAGAGCACTTCCTCCCACCTCAGTCTTTGGGCTGGATTCCAGTCTGTTTTCTTCAAGGAAAACCACCACTGTGGTATACAGGAGGCAGAATAAGAAGAGTCCTCACCTTTCTATTTTGGGCTCCAATGAACCCTCCTTCAAAAGTAAAACCTTTTTCAAGAAGCCAAAAGGGGTTATTTCAAAGGTCACGAGTAGTGTTAGCCAGGTGCTGGGCCCATGATCCTATGAACTTTGTGGCCTTTTTTATTCAAATTCCTCCTGATTTTGTACCACATAACATGTTCAGGGAAGCCACTTAATTTAATTGCCAGAGGGTATGTCATCACCAGAGAGAGAGAGAGAGAAGGAAGAGAACATCCCCTAGTGGGGTGTGGTCATCACTCTGCAATTCTTTCTCCAACTTATCAGGATTTTGAGCATGCACACACGTGCCTGGTATGTTTCTCACGCCACTGAGGCTGGGATTCAATAACAGTCAGTCATGTGGCATCCAGCTTCCTTAACCACTAGGTCTCAGAGACAGCCTTCTCCCTTAATCTTTATACCATTCACCAGGAAGCCGGATTTGCCTCTACAAATGCATCAGGTTTGTACTGTTATGTCTCTCATTATAGTCTGATAATTTGCCTCATATGCCATTCAAGACCTTGAATGGCAGTAGGTAGGCAGGCCAGGTGTCACTGCTGGGCACACAGAGGGAACTGGAGGCCTGGGTGGGGAAGGGCCTCCAGGCTGCACTCCTCACCATCTCTTCTTTCCACCAGCAGTTCTGGGCACCTTCTGTGGACCAGGGACTAGGTACAGTGGGAGGCACTCAGCTGAGCAAGACTCGCCCCAACCACAGCAGGTTCAGCCTACCAGAGCATTCCAAATGGTTTGGCAAGATCTCTAAGGCTGTAGTAGCTACTTAGGGGAGGAGAGGCCCACTTCCCCTGGCATGGGCAGGGCCATGGATACATCCCCACTCACCCGTGCCGACTCTACTCCTACAGAACTCTCAGTACCTCCAACATTTCTGTTTCTTCCCTGCTCTCTGGAGAACTTCCTCCCCTGCTAGCCAAGACCACCCTCACCAGGACCCTCTTGCTCTGCCTCCTGCTCCTCATCACATGCCCTTCATTCTTAAAAGGTGCTTTTCTCCCTTGGCCCCTCCTTTTCCTCCTCTGCCTCTGCTTTTTTCTTATACTCCCTATATTCTGCCTGGAGGCTGCCTCCATGCCTGGGGCTTCGCCACCACCCAGACCTCCCGCTCTGTCTCAGAGCATTCAGCTGAGCTCCAACACTCCTGTCCCATTATCTCCCAAATAGCTCTTTTTTTTTTTTTTCCTTCTGTTTTTGGAGAGGTTTTTGTTATAGGGCGCATGAGGTCGCCAGACAGACAGAGAGAGACAGAGAGACAGAAAGCGGGAAATCTGATGGCTACGCCGTCATTCCTTCTCCATTCTCCGCTTGGGATTTTGGGCATACACGCACATGTGCCCTGCGTGAGTTTAAGCCACCGGGTCCATGACTCGAACTGTGGTCAACTATGTGGGAGTCCAACGACATAGCCATTACGCTAACTGCTGGTCCCATCTCCCAGATAGCTCTACTCAGGAGCCCTGGGCACCTCCACCAGGGCCTATCAAAATTGCATTCTTTTCCTTCCCTCCAATTGCTGTACCTCCCTCATCTTGGTCCATGGCACCACCAGCTCAGCCAGACTGCTATCCAGATAGAACCAGAGATGGACCAGCAGTTGGCGTAATGGCTATGCCACTGGACTCCCATGTAGTCGACTGTAGTTCAAGTCCCAG